AGAGCGTCTATAGAGTTCCAGGTGCTTCACACACAATTCGCTAATGCCTCCAGTAATTCTGAAACGTAGATGTTATTAGCTCCATTTTATAGATGATGAAGGTGAGGTTCAGAAGGATTAACACCTTGTTCAAAGTCACACAGCAAATAAGTCGTGGAGAATGTGCACCACAACACCGAACATCTAAGAGGCCCTCTGTGAATGCAGCTGTTTTGTTTGCTAAATCTGGCCACCCTATTCTATTTCAATGGTTGAGTAAAGAATACCTCGCTGGTCTGTTAAGTTCAGAATGAGAAAAGTTTTCTGGCATTTTCTTCTTAGTATTGTTGCTGCTCTATATCCAGCTTTGCTTTTCTGTTTCCAAGTTCCCAGATTTATGTGTTATCTTTTGGTCATTTTTCTACACTTTCCTCTTCAAAATTTTAAAAAGGTTATCAAGCACCAAGCTTGCTCTATGTCTGTTGACACATGCTGTATTGATATAGAATAGAAAAGAAATACTGTGTTGAAACATTTTTTTTAATGCACACACACTCACTCAACAGGAGATAGTGGTGGGTGATATGCTAAGAAGAAATGACATTATGTTTAGACCAAAGACTGAGAAATGCAGTCTTGCTGGGTGACAGCCAGTCGAGACAGCCCTACCTAATGGATAGTGTAAGCATTGTTTGGGGACATTTACTGCAGAATACAATGAAGTAAAGGCATTAAAGGTGAACAAAATATCATCCTTCATAGGCAAAAACAAAGGCAGTGACAGAAAATAAATTGCTGGAGAAGCATCTCTTAAAGAAGAGTAGGTTTAAACATCCTGACTTGAGTGCCAGAAGCTGCCAGAATTTTTATCAGCTGGAGGGATGGATCTCAGCAGAAGAAATTTGTTTTATTTTTCTTTTGAGATGTGGCATGATGTAGAGAAGGCTGGTTGGCTGTGGAGAGACATTTAAATGATTAGCTTCCTTTACCAAAGTAAGCACTGTCTTTTTTTTTTTAAGGCCACATATTTAACCTCAAATAAATAGTTTGGGAGCAATATAAGATAATCCGATAGTAGTAGAGTGTAACGCAGAAGACCACAAAACTTGGTATCAGAAAGAGCTAAGGTCAAATCCTGACTCCAGTGACTATTAGCTATGAGATCATGGTAAGTTATTTTACCCCTGTATATTAGGCAAGATGGGATAGGTTCTGCTACAGTAAAAATGTGCCAAATAGCTTGGTTTGGTTTCTTGTTCATGTGCCAATTTGATCGATGCAGGTTGGGCACCAATTCTTGGTGGCTCTGCTCCAAGCAGAGACTCAAAGATTTGGCTCCTCCCAAATTTTGACAATGCCACGTTAACCATGTAGACTCTATGATTGCTATGGAAGGGGAAGCGAGTGTGGTAAACAGTATGGGGGTTCTAGGGCCAGGCCTGGAAATGATATGCATCACTTCTGTCCATTTGCCATTGTCCAGGCCCAGCAGCATGGTCTCACCTGTCATAGAGGCTAGAAAAGGTGGCCATCCAGTATGAGCACATACAATCGTCCCTGCCACACTGTCTAAGCATCTGTGCAATGAAGGGATTGCAGTAGGACCTACTGAGGTGGTTTCTGTGTAACTAGTTGCTCATACAAAAGTAGTTATTATTATTTAAATTTGAGCTGATATAGGTACAATTAATCTGTCATAAAATTAGGTCTGGGTTGTAGTCAGATTCATAGAGAAAGTAGAATGATGGTTACAGGAGCTGGGAGCGGGTAAAGGGGAGTTACTATTTAAAGGGCACAGAGTTTTAGTTTTACAAGGTGAAAACATGCTCTGCAGATGGATGGGGATGATGGTTGCACTACCGTGTGAATGTACTTAATGCTACTGACCTGGGCACTTAAAAATGTTTAAAATGGTAAATTTTATATTATATTTTACCACAATTTAAAAAAATAAATAATTGTTTAAAAAATTAGGTATAGGTTAACCTGGCTCTAGAACATGGTGAGAACAGTGGTGTTTGTGTCAAATGGTAGTCAGGTTGGTTCTGGACCTAAATTTCTGAGGAAATGAAAGAGTTTTAGATAATTTGCTCTGTGTTTTATCTAAGGAATCATGGTGTTTAAAGTTCTTAAAGTCTGTCTGGAAGGTAAGGTCACTTATTAATAGAAAAGAATGAAAGATAAAGTCGTAATAATCCCAGCCTTCCTTTTCCCAGGCTCTCCCAACATGCTCGCTGGCTCTCCTGCCTCCCAGTCTACGTCAGTCTGGGCCGCCTGGGCCGCCTCAGGGCTTAATCCTAGCTCCAGATCATCCAGCCGAAGTTCCCACCCTGGCTGCATATCAGATTCACCTGGGAGCTTTAAAAATATATGGATACCCAGGCCACAGCTCAATTCAATTAAATCTGCCCCTCCAGGGTGGAGCCTGGGCACCAGTGCTGCTTTAAAAGCTCCCCAGCTGATTTTAATGTGCACCCGGGCTGAGAAGCGCTGAATAGTCTGTTCTGGCTTCTTCCCAGCTGCCTTTCTGCAGAGCTCCGAAAAGCAGGGCACTTCAAACCAGAGTCAGGCTTAAGCCTCATCTCAGGTCCCTCCAGTGTGGTCTCAGGCACCCCGGATAACTTCTCTGGTCCTTAGTCTTCTCATCTGTGCCCTGGGGGCAATGAGAATGGATGGGATAATACGTGGGTACAGTGCAGTGCCTGGCAGGCAGGTGAAGTGCTTGCTGCACGATGGGACATGTTATTATGAACGCTTCCGGGGACTGTCGCTTCCTGGTGTGAGGACGAACTTGCTATTTTCCCACGGGAGTTCTTTAACTTGCAGTTTGTTGCCAGCTCCATCAGGATCCCTCAGATTCTGTCAAAGGGGAGGAAGGGGCCTCCCCTTTTTGTCCCTTAACATGCCCCCTCCCCTAGCCAGCCACCTGCTGCTCTTTGGCACATTCTAAATCCTATTAAGCAAAACCAAACACAAATAAAAATGATTGAATACAGATTTCTTCCTAGCATGCACCTGCCAAGAAGTGTGACGGAAAGTTTTTTAAGGGGTGGGGGTGGTGCCTTTAACCACAGCTCACTGGCATTTGTTCAGGCTGATTTGAAGCTTAGGAAAGGAACGCATTATTGAGTTGGTGCCCATCTAAGTTAAACCGGGCTTGGTTCTTAATCTCCCTAAATAAACCAATCCGACAGGCCAAGGCAAGAGGCATGCGGGGGCCAGGCCACTGGAACTGGTGGGAACGTCAAGGCAGCTGGGGCACAGAGGGGTGGAGGCTGGGAACATGCTCCAGAAGCTAGCCTAGGGATGGAGTAACCTTGAACTTGGTCAAAGCAGGAGGAGAGGCCCAGAAGCAAAATTGCCAGGATCCTATGACCCTCAGCCTGCTCCCAGACATTGTCACAAGCATGAGTTTTATTCTTGCTTTCTTTGTTATACTTAAATGTAAAATTGAATTCAAGTCTAGCCATCACCTACCAGAGTTCTTTTCTTGGGAAGGGTCCATTTGGGGGTAAGGTGGAGGAAGCTGGAGACTTATAAATAATCCAGATCATCTCCAGAGGGTCCTTTGCTGCCCGGTTCTTATCGGACAATGCTGACAAGCCCATTGTCTGAGACTCCAAAATCTCCCAGGAAATCATGCTTGGCACGTTTCCTCCAAGGTGCTACCCACACAAAGGCACCTCCTGCCACCCCTCCAAACCCATTCTCTTCTAGTCTTTGGGAACTTCCCTCCTGGCACTTGCCACTTTGAGGTCACTCATTTAACGGCTCAGTGCCTTAGTTTCCTTATCGATAAAGTGAAAACAATTGCGTCTTCCTCATGGGGTTGCATCGTAGCAGAGGACAAGTGAGTTCATGTAAAGCCCTTGGCACGGTGCCTAGCACAAAGTGCTGCACATGCGTTAGCTTTCGCTGACACTCAGAGGGCCCCCCACCCTCAATACCTCCTCAGCCCCCACATCCCTCGTCCCCCTTCTAGCACTTAGGCTCCTACTCCAAGCTTTCAAAAACAGAGGCCTCTTCCTCTGCCCTAAGGATAAAAAATACCCTTAAGATTCCAAGCTTCCGAGCTCTGCTTCCTTTTCGAGGAAAGGAAAGACAAAAAGAAAAAAAGAAAAAGAAAACCTTTCATTTTTTTTTTTACCAACTCATCTACAAATGCAAGGACAAACAAAAACTAAAACCTCAATATCTCTTTCAGAAGCTGGGAGCCTACGGAAGAGGAGGATCCAATTCCCCAAGAAGGAAGGCAGGGCATTCATTCACTTGTTCACTTTGCATTAAGCACCTACTGTATACCACCAGTAAGATAGGCCCCCTGCCTTCAAGGTGGGCTCGGCTTCACATTGGGATCACCTGGGGAGCTTTTAAAAGTGCCAAGCCCTCCAGACCCATTAAGTCAGAATCTCTTGGGGTGAAACCCAGGCAGCAGTATTTTTAAAGTTCCCCAGAGGAGTCCAATCTGTAGCCAAGGGAAGAGCCAGTGATCTGGTGAGAGAGGCAGATAAAAGATTATTACAATCTGATGTGGCCGGAACAGGCAAGTGATGGAATTCCATCTCAATAAAGCCGATAAAGACAAACAAACAAACAGGCAAGTGTGGGGGTGACAGGAGCCCAGGGAGGGCAACCTGATTCTGACTCGGGCTGAGGCTAGGACTCAACGAAGATTCCCGAAGTGGGGGAGTATCCTCTCTGCTTAGATATCAGCAGTAGCCAGACATGCTGAGATAATGAAGGGGAAAGTGTTCCCTGAGTTCTCATTTGTAAAGCAACAACCCCTTATATTATTGACAGTATAGGACACACTGCATAATTAAGTCTGTTAATGAGTATTAATAAAATTGGCGCATTTTTTCATTTAGATTAACACTTCTCAGGGCTCAGGAATAGCTTTTGGTGGTTTGGTTGGAGCCTATCAGGAACTCTGGGGGAAGAGGTCTAGTGTGGGAACAAAAAAGCAAATCCTGGACCAGAACCCCTCTGTGGCAGCTTCGACTCATCTTTTCCCTCCTCCCTGGGTCTGAGAAGTCACCAGTCCTTAAGTTAGGTCTCTACGATAACCAGACTCCAGACATGGCCCCTAATAAGTCCTCCCTTCCCTGTGCTTGCATGCCACTCCTGACATCAGAGATGCGGTCCGTCTTCTCTCCCTTGGGATCTAGACTGGCCTATGACTTGTGTGGATCAGTAGAAGGTTGTGGAAGCAACTTTCTGAATTTCCAAGTCCAGGCCTGAAAAGGACTAGCACTTGCTACCTTGTCTCTCTGGAGCCCAGATGCTGCCATGCTATAAAGAAGTGCAGGCTAGCTGACGACACAATCAGAGATTATGCACGTAGAGAGTCCTGGGAGGGTGCTATGGACTGAATTGTGCCCCATCCCCCCAAAAAACCTCACGTTGAAGTCCTAATCCCCAGTTGTGGCTATATTCGGAGATAGGGCCTTTATGGAAGTAAATAAGGTTAAATGAGATCATAAGGGTGAGATCCTGATGTGACATGCACGAAAGAAAAGCCAAGTGTACACAGAGCAAGAAGGTGGCTGTCTACAAGCCAGAAAGAGAGCCCTCCCAAGAAAGTAATGCTGCCAGAAATTTCTCGGACCTGCCAGCTCCAGAACTGTGAGAAAATAAACTTCTATTGTTTAAGCCACTCAGTCCATGGTAGCTTGTTCTGGCAGCCTGAGCAGATTAACACATAGGAGGAGAGGTCAGCCTGGAAGCTCCAGGTCTAGCCCTGCTCCCAGGTGAATGGAGACACATGAAAAACCCCAAGTGAGACCAGCAGAAAATCGCCCAGCTGAGCTCTGGACAAACACATAACCTACGGAATCAGGAGAAAATTTAGAAATCACTGTCTAAGCCACTAAGTTTTGAAATCTTTTGTTATATAGCAATAGTAACTGGAGAAAAAGTCCTCCTTTAGCACCTTTTCTTTCCATTGTATGGCACTGCAGTCTGACCTAACTAAGCTCATTTGCTCACATCCAATTATTAGCTGGGTAGCTATTAGTAGCCTGCCAATAGGGGTTTTTAACCTGAGAGTCATAGAATTCAAGAAAGTCTGTAAACTTGGATAAGAAAAAAAAATGACATTTTTATTTACATTAATCTTTAACTGAAATTTAGCATCGTCCTTAATTATGATATAATAAGCCACACTAGTATAAGAGTGCTTATGACTGTCATTAATAGAAATCACAGATTTTTTCATATCACATTATAATTGTTAGCAAGTATCTTAAAATATTTTTCATGCTTATCACAACCTACTGCTAGGTCTTACTATTTAAGATAGCAATAAAAATTACATGTATTATTATAATAAAGTATTTATTAATATTTTGATAACTGTACTTCAATGTAATTCACTTCCTCTGTAATACCAGTATTTTGTGTTATGCATTTAGAACCATTATCTTGCTTCATAGCACTGCTAAAGGGGTCCTTGGCCCTAAAAAGAAATAAAAGTCCCTGAACCAGAAGTAGGTATAGGCCAAAGTTCTCTACTCTGCCAATTTCTCACCACGTTGCATTGTGAGTCCTGCCGTAGACATTTATTAGAGAGCTGGCACTAACACAGTTCCTACAACTTATTCTGGAAGCAAGATCAAGTTCTGGTTCCATCGCTTTTAAGGAGTTCCTACAGCACCGCATCTGAAAAGTTCGTTCCGGGCAAATATTCTAGTTTCAGCCAACTAACATCTAGACACTATAATCCTGCCTTAGGAACTTTTCCAAAGATGATCATAAAAACAGCTTGAATAAGAATAATATAATAATGGCTAATATTTAACTGGGAACTTCCTACTTGCCAGACACTGTTCCAAGTGTTCAACATGAATTAACTCATTAAGTCCTCAAAACAACCAGGTGAGGTAGGCATATTATTATGCCCATGTTACAGGTGAGGCTCACAGAGGTTAGTAACTTGTTCAAGGTCACCTAGCTTATAAGTAACAGAGATAAATGTGGAGCACATCAATTAAGTCAATCTCTGCTGGTAGAATCCAGGTATTTTTCAAAGCTTCCTGCTCATTGATCACAATGTGCAGCCAAGTTTAAGAACTCATGGACTATTAGACTCCCTGGACTCCTGAACTCTGTTCATGCAAGAGCAAAAGTCTCTGTATAATATTTCAAGAGCATCTGCATATCAAAAATACTACTGATTTCACAAATGGAAAAAATAATTTCTAGCACCCATTATGTTAATTAACAAAGCCTCTGATATTGATCCAAGATACAGATAGCTGAAAACTTGTGGTAGTCACTTCAAGAGGTTGGACTTCTAATCTGAAATGCTAACCAATCTCCCCTGGAGTGTTCTGATTAGAACACTTAAAATGTTAATTGTCTCTAGAATATAGAACAAAACTAACCCATGTACATTTGCATATTATAGTATCTCTGTTAAAATATTTAATTAAATTAAATTACCATCACCTTCACTCCCCTCTTTTGTTGAAAAACCTAACAATTTTCCTCACCAGTTAAAGCTTTCTAAATCACCTAATAATGTTAACAACTCTTTTTCTACCATCAAATCTACATCATGTAACTTCAATATCAGGTGGTATTTCCTTGCCCCTTGAGATCAAGATAAGGTCACCTCAAGCTACCTTGGCCTCCCCTTCATACTTCACCAACACCATTCCGTCAGGGGCTGGGATTTTACTCTACTTGCAATCTAATAAGTTAATCTGCCACAGTTCATGGATGCCGGCAGAAGACACAAGACTCCTGAGTCAGAAACAAAGGGATTTATTACTCATAGCATAGCAAGTAAAAGAGCACGATGTTGGTATTGGTTCTCATTTCTCCAAAGTTCTATAGGAAACAACATGTAGGAGCCCAGACGGATGCTACACATACCACGGTTTTGCATCACAGACAAAGAACATTGCGCTTAGGGATCACGTATTATCCCCTTTAATCTTTCAAATCCTAAGAGGTAGGTATTTCCACCAGCCTCATCATCCTTCAACTTTACAGAGGAGGAAACTGAGGCACAGAGAGCTACAAACAGTAGAGCTGTGATTCAAACCCTGCCCCGCCCCTATGCTAAGCAGAATAATGGGTTCCCAAAGGTGTCCATGCCCTAATCTCCAGATACGTTACCTTGTATGACAAAAGGGACTTTGTAGATGTGATTAAGTTAAGGATCTTGAGCCGATTACATTCTGGATTATCTGGCTGGTCCCAAATGCAAGGATCTTTATAAAAAGAAAGTTAGAGTCATAGATTGAAAGATGCTATCGGCTTTGAAGATGAAGGAGCACAAGCCACAGAATGCAGGAGGCCTCTAGAAGCTGGAAAAGACAAAGAAATAGATTCTTCTCTAGTCTCCAGAAGGAATGCAACTCTGTCAACACGTTGATTTCAGCTTCGTTAGACTCATTTAGGACTTATGACCTCCAGAAATAGAACTAATAAATCAGTGTTGTTTTAAGCCACTAAGTTTGTGGTAATTTGTTACAGCAGCAACAGGAAGCTAATACACCCCCCAGTGACTGCTAGGCACCATGATGTTTTCAAGATGCATGTTATTTTTAAATAAATTTACACTTGATAGAAACAGCACAGAAGGCGTGTAGGATCCAGAAAGCCCCTCCAGCTACTCTGTATTGTCAGCTCC